TGGCTGCCTTCATGCTCCAACAGCAGAACTGAGTAGATGGGACAGAGGCCATTATGGCTCACAAGTCTAAAGTATTTGCTATCTGACTCCTAACTGAAAAAGTTTGCTGACCATTGCTCCAAAAATAGTGTGATTATTCTAAAATCTTTTTGAAAAATTTTAACTATGTATTACGAATAAAATAAACTGAATTTGAAATGTAAGTGGGAAGATTGTTTATTCAAACTGGGGAATTTAGGATATAACCAGAAAAACAAAACAAAGAAAAAACCAACTGTAGCTAGAGAATGTCTATCTCAATTTCAGCCAGTGGCACAGCCATCAATCTGCTTGTATAGTTAGCATTTCAAAACTCTTCCATAAAAATTACCAACAGCTTTAGGCAGGAAAAAAAAAAGTCAGAAATCTCTTTCAAATAGATAAAAGCTAGGGTAGAAAAGTAATTCAAAAAATTAAAGGGATACAAACATCCCCTTGTAGAGATTATAGATGCATAGACTGGTCTTCCTTAAGCTTTGCCAAGTGATTTTTAATTCCTTAGGTTGTTATCAGTCTTTGATATTCATCAAAATACCCACTGATGAGTGCTGAAATCTCTTTTCATTGTTTCTCATGCTTATCTAACAGTAACAAGCATATTCATTATAGTCTTCCATTGTGTCTTCAGCTATGATTTACAAAGGCCAAGGCTCACAATTAATTTTAGTTTATACACATAAAACAGACTCCTTCATTTGTTTGCTTGATCTTATTAGTATGTAAGCAAATATGGCAAAGAAAACAAAACCTTGTACAAGCTCAAATTTCCATGAGAATTTTTGTGACTATGACCAATTTGAGAACTACGAATAAACCCCACAGATTTTTCTAAATGTTGAAAGACAGCAGTATCATGCTACCTAGACCATTAGAGTCATTTCTTCGAGGAAGAAACAGAAAAGCAAGACTGCAGAGACTGCAGGCCAGCATAGTCCAATCTATCCTTCCAACAGAAATGGAACTACATAAAAATATTTTTAAATTTGGAAAAAGAATGCATTTTTAGGCTAACAAAGTTGATAGAGCATGAGATAACCAAAATTAATTTACTTTCTTAGTCTTCTAACTCATCTTTAAAGATGGAGATGTTATACACCTTGGAAAGTCATATCTGTCTCAGATCTATCAGATCTGTCAGATCCAAGGCATCCTAATGCTGGGGGTGTGTGTGCACGCATGTGTGCATATATGATCATTCTACTATACTTATTTAGGACTCAATAATTATCTTCAAAAAAATAATAACTTTCCTTATGCATTAATCTAACAATATTGATAAGCATTAATTGTCACACTGAAGAAACTGGAAGTAACAGGAAAAATAAAATTATTTTTCTGGGAATGCAAATTTGATATTTTTTTCAATGCAAACAATTGCTATGCCTGAATACTAAGGACTACAAATCCGGCACTATAGGTCATCACAATAAAGCCATAAGCCCCCCAGACCTGAACTAAGAATAACATTTTAGTCATTAATGATTTATGAGCTGGGTAAAACTGCAATTGGCTTTGCTAAATACAATTTGGAATTTCAAGATTCCATATTCTACTACCTATCCCTATCAGTTCCCAAGGGCCCTATTATCTTTAACATACTTTAAATGCTATTTGTTAAAAGTCTTTTTAAAAGAATACATTTCATTTAGGAAATGTTTACAGACTTTTCTCTAGAATTGCTATAACCATTAATTCCTATTCTTCATTTTTTTCTACATGGTATATGAAACAAATATAATTTGCAAGTCATTACTGTTTTCCGAGTTCAGGAAAGTGTGGCACATACTATTGATATAAGAAAATAGGTGAAAGTAGACTTGATATTAGAAATATATCGTATCTAATACAGTTCCATTGTGAAGGCAATAACAGTGGTTACAATAAAATTTCAGTTTGTTCTAATCAATTTCTATTTTCATGTTTAAGATGTATCTTTTTTCACATTTTAGCAAAGACCATTATATTCCAGTGTAGGCTTTTTATTATCTCTTGAATGGAAATAAACTAAAATCAGTATATACTGAATATTTTTATAAAACCGGTAATAAATACTAAGATACTCAACAAGTGAGTTATACATCCTTTCCCTCAGTGAGTAGTATCGTATTTTACAAACTCTAATTGGGATGGTAAGTATAAATACAACAAGCATTAGAAATTCAAAAAAGGAGAGCACGAAAGACTGTATGTATTGTATGGATGAAGTGTGAAAGGTATTTATAAAATAAAGGAGAGAAATGAAGGATCCAGCCACCCAACGAGGCCCCATTGTGTAATTATTAATTGGTGTGGCCTCTGATGGTAGCTGGGCACTGCAAGGAAGAGTATAGTAGAAGCTAGTGAGAACCCTTGACAGCATTTTCTTCTCTAGCATAAGCTTTTCTTCTTCCACTTCTCTTCCCTCAGAGCCTCTTTCAATAGATTTGTCTATATGCTTGTATTTTTTTTTAGTTTTTTAAAAATATTTTATTTAAATTCAATTTGCCAACGTGTCTATATGCTTTTTTTTATTATTAAAGACTTTATTTATTTATTCATGAGAGACACACAGAGAGAGAGAGAGAGAGAGGCAGAGACATAGGCAGAGGGAGAAGCAGGTTCCATGCAGGGAGCCTGATGTGGGACTCAATCCTGGTCCAGGATCACACCCTGAGCCAGGGGCAGATGCTCAACTGCTGAGCCACTCAGGTATCCCTGTCCATATGCTTTTAAATAGAGGTCCATATGCTTTTAAATAGAGCAGAGACTGTATTGTTTTGAAAATCTGGTCAATGCATTCGCTCAAAATTGTGAAAGACAGAATTAGTTCTAAGTGACTTGTGATAATTATCACACCATTTTTAAACTCTGAATTTCACTGTCACTCCAAGTGTCTAGCTGGTGCTTAATAAAATGTATTGATGATAGATTCTGGTTTTCATATGTAAAAAGTAATTTTCTGTACATAGTTTATCTCCCTTGCAAATCAGCAGATGGAATATCCCCCTAGGAGAGAAGTTTACTCAGAGCTTAAATCTGTTCATTTCAAATAGTTTTACTGAATTAACCTAGTGAGACTGTTTTGTCAATACTATTTTTAAGATTACTCTTTCTTCAACTTATGAAAAAAATGTCATTTAATTAATATGTTCTTTAAATTCTCAATAGTGACTTTATTTAGGAAAGTTTTGTTAATGTTCACTTACATAAGTGTTTTCTCCATAAGAAACATGATATATTTTCTGACACTGTATTGCTTTTTTTAGTAAACAATTTGGAGAACTAGTATCTCCTAATATTTTTCACCAATGCTTATAACTGGTAGACATTGCCATAATAATAAAAACAAGCACATAAGTAAATAAATATTTTTTAAACAAATTTTGAACCTACGAAAAAATAAATTCTTTACTCAAAAGAATGTTTAAGGAATTCCCAGTGTTCAGTGTAGTGATCAGATTAGGTAGAGATGAGATTATTCTTAGTGTAAAGGAGGTAGATTTTATAAAAATAAACACATATTGAAATTAAATAGAACCTGTATGGTCACATTTTGGCAAAAGCAGAAAAAGACCTAATAGTTTAAGTATGAGTTGTGATGTTTAAAAGCCATTACAAAGAGATTTGAGATTTTCATTAAATAACCTAGGAAGCCTGAAGCATGTTAGTAAAAAGTGGTTTACAGGGAAGAAAATTGTCATTTTTTATGAAACTTAGATTGATTTTCTTTTATAAAACCTAGATTGATTTTGGAAACCAGAAATTATAAAATAGGAGAGAATTCATAGGTTTTGTAAACAAAAGGATGTGAATATAAATTCTGTTATGTCATTCACAAAGTTTATTGATTTGGGAAAATGACACTTTGTGCTTCTGTTATTTGTATGTAAAAGGTCAACCTCACAGAAACTTTGCAAGGAATTAAAAAAAAACTGTACACATGCAACACATGAGAGTGGCTTACATTAACACAGGGAGTAAAAAAGTATAATTAGGAGAACCTTAATAGGAATCACCTTCCTTGTCCCTACTTATTAATGATTTAAGCACTTAAAGTGAATATGTAAAGTATAGGTAGAAATTTTAAATTTCTATAGAAGGACTGAACAAGATTTAGAGAATTTCAGTTGCAGCTGGATGGATTTAAGAAAGCATTCTTGTGGGGCGGCCCTGGTGGTGCAGCGGTTTAGCGCCGCCTGCAGCCCAGGGTGTGATCCTGGAGACCCGGGATCGAGTCCCACATCAGGTTCCTTGCATGGGGCCTGCTTCTCTCTCTCTCTCTGTGTCTCTCATGAATAAATAAATAAAATATTAAAAAAAAAAGCATTCTTGTCATTCTGGAATGGGAGGTTTAGATTTGGATTACTGGAGTACCAAGGTAGTTTTAAGGAGACTTCTCTGATCCTTGACCTAGTACTTTCGAATGCCATCCCACCCATTTTCCTCCTCTGGGGTACCCTGAAGTTAATCATTCCCCTTTGTATTATGTTTATGACTTCTATTGCTGTATGCGTCTTAAAATTATGTATGTACATGGCAGTCTTCCTCAACACATGGTGAAACAGGTTCTTATTCATCTTGATCTCCTCCATTGCTTGGCTTAGAGCCCATTAAAGATGTTTACATAGATAAGAAATTCCATGATTATTAACCTGGACAAACTGAAGAGGTTTTATTATGGACAAAAGCATAGGATAATCTGGCATTTTTAAAAAATGCAATTCAGCATTTTAATAAAACATAATAAAAATAGTATTTAAACTATACAGTCACCAGAAGTACTGAGTTATCAAAAATGCACGTCACTTGGCATCTCCTGGCATTTTGTTTCTACATGATATATATCTTCATAAAAAATGACTCCATTTACAACTGTAAAAGTGTCTAGAAAATGTGTTCTGATCTAATCAAATGAGTGACTGTTAACCTTTTTTCAAAGGTAAATTCTATAAGAAATTCAATGCCACACGGATGATACTTACATTAGCCAAATGAGCTAGTTCTATCTCCAGGAACGAATCAGATGTTTTGGGTTCAGGCCTTATTGTGACCACGATGATTTTGGAATTAACGACAGTGTAATTTCTGAAACAGAGTAATTATGATTAAGAGGAGAAAGGATCGATGACAAGTATGAATTCCTACTGGTCAGTACATGAAATGCATGTTAAATAAATAAATATATCCTAATATATCTTAAGGAAAACAGAGAAACATTGGGCAAACAGATTTAAAGCATGATACTAAAGTACTACTCATGGAAAGCTACAGTTCTTTTTTCTTATAAACAAACCCTATCTACAACTAGAAAACTGAGGGGAAAAAGCTATTGCTGACTGTTACCATTTTAGATGCAGGGAAGATGAAAAAGCAGCAGCACTGACAAGCTTTCGATTACTTAAATCTGATTCACCTACAAGAGAGATGGATTGTGAATTCAAACCTTCAGGCAATCTTTAAATGAATATAATCCATTTATCTCAACGTGGACTTAACAGTTTTGTTCTCCAGGAGACCAAATATTCTTCTTCTAAAGTGCTATCTTGGCGTTTTTCAGACTATCTCAAAATTCATTAAGATGAATGATTGGAATGTGGGTTAGCATGAAAGCAAGTAGAGTTCAAATATAAATAAATGCTGTTGCTAATCACTGGCCATCATTCATTATAGCAATAGAGACTTACAGGCCACTTCTTTGTCTCAATATGCTCAATGTAAGAAATATATTTGCCTTTTGAAATATCTTACCATTACAGTTCACTCACAAAGAAGTTTTAAATATATTTACAAGCTACAAAACATTATCCATAAACATAAACTAATAAAACTGAATCAACTCTTTCTTATACATACGAGTTTTTATCCAACATATATAAAATGCCACACATCATCTGTTATTTAGAGATTTAAAGTTTTATTATACTTTTAACTATACATATTTCTTCCATTCCTTCTTTTTTATTTGAAATAAACCTGTTCTTCCATAGAACATGTACTATTCTGGGGAATTCGTAATAGGTATCAAAGATGAAGTCATTTAACTTTTTTTCCTTCTTTTTTGTTGTTTAAGGCATTATTTACAGATAACAAAATTCACCAATTTTAAGTGAGCAGTTTAATGCTTTCAGTAATTGTATACTACCATGTAAGCACCACCAAAATCAAGAGAGACAATCGGTTCCTCACCCTGAACAGTCTCTTTAAACTCTCTGTATCTGATCCCCTCCTGTTTCCAAGGTTCTAGGCAACCATGAACATGTTGCCACTATAATCATGCCTTTTCTAGAATTTCATTTAAATAGAATCATAAAATACATAGACTTTCATGTTTGATTTAATTCACTTAGCATAATGTTTTTGAGATTCATCCATTTTGTTTCTCTTTATAGCTACTCCATGATACAGCTGTAACAGTTTGCGATCTACTCATCAATTAAGTAAGCAACCTATGGGTTACGTCTAATTTTTAGCTTTTATGAATACTACTATTCATATTTTGTTATTATGAATAATTGGCATAGATACTTTCTATGTAGACATATGTTTTCAAAGGTTTTGGATAAAAACCTAGGAGTGGAATTGCTTGTGGTAGAAATGCGTTTAATTTTATAAGTCACTGCTACACTATTTCCAAAAATGGCTGTTCCATCAAAATCATATAATTCTAGTATTTCAGAACAATGTTGAACCTCACATTGTTTGTGAAACATTTTGTCTAATGTGGTGGGGTCTTTGCCATGATATTTCACCAAAAAGAATGCTGGCTCTGCCACCATAAGGAATTTATTATATTTAGTAATAGAGAGACTATAAACATATTTTGAGTTGGTAAGATTTTTTAACCCATTTTAGTTCATCTCTCATGTATTTAGTAATGTCAAATAACAAATTCTTAAACACTCAGAAAGCTTCATGGTATCTAACCTAACAGTCAAAAGTAAAAAAAAACAAAATATAAATTTGACTTTCTACTTCTTAGGGGAAGGTAGCTGCAAACAGAGAGGACTACTTAGTTGTCATTTATTTCATTTAATATAGTTGAAGGTAAGTTGCATTGAGAATGATATGAAGGTAAGTTCTAAATGCCAAGTTCCCTTTGCAATTTTATTATTCCTTGTTTCTCTGGGAATAAAAGTGTTCAAGGGATGAATAGATGGAATTAACAAAGCTGTGAGTTGGGGAATTAATTATACTAGTAGATATGACAGGACTCTCAGAGAATGACAAGGTGTATATAGCTTGGGCCTGGGGAGAATGTCAGTACCAAAATAATTATAGAGGTTTCTCCCAGAAAACAGTCTTGAGTGCAGAGATGCGAGTTCCTTTTCCAAATTAGCCTGAATATTTTTGAGTTCTGGGTGGGTTACCTTGAAACAAAAATATTTACATGTCACTTAAATTCATTTTGCCTTTTTATTCTGGTTCTATTTATAATCCCATTTTTCTCCTATAAATAAAACCAATGTCAATTTAACTCAACTGCTACTTATAATTAATAAATTTTGGTTAAATTTGATAGTATATCGATATTTTGTATTATTTTAAAAGTTGCATAAGTAGATCATTTACTGGAAAATACAAATAGGAGTATTCCAAATAGGAATTTATAATTTTTCAAGATATTTATGAAGCTCTCTTTGTGTGCTTGGGCATGTAGGAATTTTGACCCTGGGAAACTGGGGTATAGAAAGCAAAGTAGCCAAGTAGCCTTCTGTAGGGTATGTTACTCTGTGTTAGGTTTGTTAGCTTCTCACCTGACCTGATGGAGATGATCCTTAGAGGGCAGAGTCTGCCCTATGACTTTTGCTCTGTGCATGTGTATGTATGTGTGTGTGTATGTGAGAACTTACTTAGAATCCACCTGGGAAAAGATGCATGCCAATATAACTAACTACTAATATGTAACTATCTCTACCACAACATCCATTATGATATGTGTGTCTCCTTCTGCATGATCATAAGTTCAATGAGAGAAAGAATTTTATCTAGCATTTATATATCCTCATTTGCATTATGCTTTGCACATTTTAGTGCTAACACATGTTGAAATGTCATATTAAGTAAACACATAAAAACAAAACAAAAATATCAAACTTTTGACAAAGTTGGGGGATCCCTGGGTGGCGCAGCGGTTTGGCGCCTGCCTTTGGCCCAGGGCGCGATCCTGGAGACCCGGGATCGAATCCCACATCGGGCTCCCGGTGCATGGAGCCTGCTTCTCCCTCTGCCTGTGTCTCTGCCCCCCCCCCCTCTCTCTCTGTGACTATCATAAATAAATTAAAAAAAAAAAAAAACACCTCAAAGTTGGATTAAAGTGTATTGCTATTATCATGGTATTAAAATGCTTAATGAAGGAAAAATAAGCAAATATACATTATGCATGGGTCCCTTTTTAAAAAGTGTACAGTGTATGAAATTATCTTTAATTTATTCTATCAATTTATTCTAATTTACATAAGTGAGTAGCTGGCTCCTTATGTGCCCTGTCGGGCTTTGTGATCTACTAATGCTTCCTGGCTGGGTACACATTTGTATTCACTGCTAGGAAAGCAGATCTTATAGCCAAATGGATTTCATGACTGAAATAATAAAGTTCTTTTCTGTTCTTGAGATTTGTGCTAGTTGGTTGGGCTAAAACATTTAAAAATGTGTAGAGGTATTCAATCAAAGGAGACCCAAGTTATTCTTTACAATTATTACAAAGGCTTATGGTATTTAATGTACATGAACCATATCTTAAAGAAAGTAAAAAAAAAAAAGTGACTATAAAATGGAATGTAGCTGCTTACAAGAGACTCACTTTAGGTGTAAGGACATACACAGGCTGAAAGTGAAAGATGGAAAATGATGACCATGCAAGTGGTAACCAAAATAGAGCAAAGATGGCCATTTTTGTAATGGACAAAATAAACTTTAAGTCAAAAAACACATAATAAGAGACAAAGAACATTAAATATTAATAAAAGGGGCAATTCATCAGGGAGATATAACAATTATAAACATACACATACCTAACAGCAGAGTACCCAAATATATGAAGCAAATGTTGGTAGAACAGAAGGGAAAAATGGACGATGACACAAAATAGATTTCAATGCAATACCCCACTTTCATAATTGATAAATCAACCAGATAGTAAACAAATAAGAAACAGAGGACATGAATAACACTATAGACCAGTTGGACCTATATCTGTTAGGTTCAACAACAGCAGAATATACACTCTTATGCATATAGAGTATTCTCTGGTATAAACCACAGGTGATGCCACAGGAAGTCTTAATAAACTTAAGACAATTGAAATCATACTAAATATCTTTTCTGACCACAGTGGAATAAAACTAGAAACCAAAGGAAAAAGAAAAACTGGAAAAATCACAAATATGTGGAAATTAAATAAAACACTCTTGAACAATCAATGGACCAAAGGACAGATCACAAGAGAAATTGAAAATATCTTGAGACAAGTGAAAATGAAAACAACATACCAAAACTAATGGGATATAGCAAAATCACTACTAATACAGAAATATATAGGGGTAAATGCTTCCATTTCAAAAGAAGAAAGATCTCAAATCAACAACCTAATTTTATATCTCACAAAACTAGAAAAAAAAAAAACTCAACAAATTGAAACCAAAGTTAGCAGAAAGAAGGGAACAATAAAGATTAAGGAAAAAAAAATAAAATAAAGAACAGAAAAATAGAAAATATCTACCAAAATGAGTTAAGTTGTTTGAAAAAAAATCAACAAAATTAACAAACTATTAACTAGACTAATAAAAGAGAAAACTTAGGCAGCCTGGGCAGCTCAGCGGTTTAGCGCCGCCTTCAGCCCAGGGCATGATCCTGGAGACCCGGGATTGAGTCCCATGTCTGGCTCCCTGCATGGAGCCTGCTTCTCTCTCTGCCTGTGTCTCTGCCTCTCTCTACCTCTCTCGGTCTCTCTGTGTGTCTCTCATGAATAAATAAATAAAATCTTTAAAAAAAAAATGAAAACCAGAAATGAAGAGAGGAGACATTACAACTGATGACACAGAAATAAAAAGGATTACAAGAGACTACTATAAATAATTACATGCCAA